CTGTCTGTCTGTCTGTCTGTCTGTCTCTGTGTGTTTGTGTGTTTGTTTGTTTGTTTGTTTGTGTGTTTGTGTGTTTGTGTGTCTGTGTGTCTGTGTGTCTGTGTGTCTGTGTGTCTGTGTGTCTGTGTGTCTTTGTGTCTGTGTGTCTGTCTGTCTGTCTGTCTGTCTGTCTGTCTGGCGGGCTGGCTGGCTGGCTGGCTGGCTGGCTGGCTGGCTGGCTGGCTGGCTGGCTGGCTGGCTGGGTGGGTGGGTGGGTGGGTGGGTGGGTGGGTGGGCGCGTGCGCTTGTGCGGGGATTCTCGAATTCAGGGTCCACGGAAGTTGTTACTTGCAAGCTATAGCCGCATGCTTTGTTTCGATGTTCGAAGTGTCCTGGTCTCCTGGTCTTCCCACCGGTCAGGACGGCATTGCTGCGATTGCGTCTCGTGGCATTGGCTCGTCTTCAATCGACCCAGCACGCCTGCACTCCCAAAGAACCTGGCAGGACCGGTCCATCGGGACCCAGGCCATGTGGTCCCGCAGCCGAGCCACCGCATGTTTCGCTAAGATAGCCCACTGCACCGGCAACTTCTAGACCATTGGGCCCCACAGCCAAGCTCAGGATTTGCAACCACATCCCGGTAGTGCGACCCTCGGTTCAGGGGCGACTGCAAGTTCGCAGTGCGAGGCGTGGTTTGAGGCTGTCGGCTTGGGGAGGGGCAGCGGTTTGAGATCATAAATCTAACCCTTTGCTAGTCAGCATGGTTGAAGATGTGTGTTCTTACTTGTGCTGTCAGTCTCGTGCACCCACGACGCTTGTTCTTGGCTATTGGGTACCACGCACCGACAAGCCATGGTTCGGGCGCCTGTGTTCTGAGTTTGACAGGACCATGATGTTCATGGTTGGTTTGTCCCGTCGCTTCACTCGGGATCCCCTGTGCTCAATCCTGAACTGCACCGCTGCACCTTGCAAGTCGAACGCAAGGATCGAAGGGTCCGAAATTTCAGTTGGCACACCCGGATCCGACAAGCCTACATGCCCGCGCCCCGTTGCGCGCTCCTCCCCGTGACGTGAGCTCTTGTGTCTCCCAAGGCTTGCTACGGGAAGAAGACGGTCTTCGTCTTCGACAAGCCGGGCGTGGGCTACAACTGCTCGGGGCTCGGTGACAGCCTGACAGAAATCAGTGGCAAAGAAGGGAAGACCTAGAGCTGCTTCAAGTGCGACCTCCCTGCAGGAACTCCAGAAGTCGCCTGTCAGGAAAATCGGAATGCTGAGCCTGCCATGCCTGCGATCAGGATCCCATCAGTTTTTCTTCTCTAAAGACTGCACAAACATAGTCAGTGCAGGTGTTCCTTCTCAACAACGAACAGCAAGGACAACTCAGGTCTTCGACAGGGAAAGACACTGGTAGCAGCATGTTTCCGAGGGGTGGCTGCCTCAGTGAATCTTTAAGTTTGTCTTGCACCGAACAGCACTTGGATTCCTGCGTGCATGCTCTAAGCTTCCGTCGCCATGCGGTACCTCGGTGATTCACAGACTTCTCTCACAGCCAAGCAGGACAAGACCGAGTGGGGCTTCAATGTCGGAGCGTTTGGTGGCCTGCGATTAAGCTTGGCAGAAGAGCCGAAGCCAGCGCTGGGCATCGCCAGCAAATCAGCTATCGAGGCTGCAACCGCAGAATCCGCTCGACGCTACGACGTTGTCGTGCTGGGCGCCACTGGGTTCACCGGACGGTTGATGGTAGAGCACTTGGATGCGCTCGTTTGTAGTCAGAAGGATCCGTCCAAAGGCCGGAAATGGGCGATTGCTGGACGGAACATGCAGAGGCTGCGTGCATTGTGTTCCTCGTGCCGATCTTCACCGGATGCGCTGGCAGCAGATAGCGATGCTTCCCTGGAAGAGGTCGCCAGCCAGTGCACGGTCCTCATTGCTGCGGCCGGGCCATATGCTCAGTGCGGCGAACTGGCAATCCGTGCTTGCGTTAAGAGCCGAACCCACTACGTGGATGTCTCTGGCGAATCGGTGTGGATGCACGAGATGATCCAGCGATACCACGCAGAAGCAAAGCAGAGGGGTGTCCTTCTTGTGCAGGCGGCTGCACAGGTATGTGCCATCGATGATCTCAACTGCTACCTCCTGGCACAGAAGTTGGGGCCACTGAAGCAGTTCCGAGAGTATTTCTTTTCGGTAGGGGGCACTACGGGTGGGACCTTCGCGACCAGTGCCGCAAGCATGAAGGAGATGACGGAGGAGAAACTCCGAGTCTTTCAGGATCCCTTCAGTCTGGGTGGTCCCTCTCGTGCCCCAAAGCCCGAGGAGCACGACTGTAAGGAGGCGCTGCAGGATCCAAACTACTCATCCCTGTGGCAGCAGCCGGCCTACAACGGCCACACGGGGGGTCGAATTCTCCGGCGCAGCCGCCAGCTCTTCGAGGAGGCCTCTCCTGGCAGCTACGGAGATTTCCCGGTGGTCATCCGGGATGCGGCGACCAGCAAGCGAGCCGCTGAGCAGGCTTTGAAGGCCATGGCGCCCATAGAAAGTCCCGAGCAAGCTCAAGTAGCAGCTCAGATGATGCAGCAACAAGTGGCACAGGGGCAGATGCCCAAACCTGGCGAGGGGCCCCCACCCGAGACTCGCGCACTTTTCTATTCTGAGGTCTTCGCTCTTGGCGAGGGAGAGGATGGCAGGTGGGCCCATGTACACTACACAGGGCCAGAAGCTTATGAGGTGACTGCCATGGCTGCAGTTACCGGTGCCCTAGTCATTGTAGAGGAGCAGGAGGCTATCCAGCCTGCTAAGCGTGGCGGCATCGTCACACCAGCCTTTGCTTTCCATGGCACCAGCTACGTGCAGCGCCTTGAGGCCAATGCCTTTGCCGCGAAGGCCGGCCGGAAGATGAGCTTCAAGGTTGTGGAGGGCAAACCAACCGAGGATTCTCTGAAGGATGCGATTACTCGCAAGACGAAGAGTGCGGTGCAAGGCCAGGCTGACATGAGTGCCGGGAAGCTGTGGGCGTGGGCATGACCTTGCCACACGTTGGTGATTTGGTGTTCTCTAGGGGCTTCTCCAGCATCTTCCGAATTATCAGAACGGCATCGGAGAAAACCCGGGCTGCCTCTGTCGCGGAGGGTCAGGGTGCCGGGTCGAGAGTCCTAGCTTTGCGGGCGCTAGCAGAATGGCACCGATCTTAGCAGCCGTCTCTATCATCATTCCTGTGGCTGCAAGCATCACTAAAGCAACATCAAACTCCTGGGCCCCCCTGATGGAGACCGAGTCCGTCTTGTTTGAAGTCCCAAGGTTTGGGCCAGATACAGGCTGCCCACCCGAAGCAGGATCGAGGCTCTCTCGTGCTGGCTTGGTGTGTGTTTTTGGGGTTTCTGGGGTCTTAGTGAATTGAATCATGGAGAGCAGGGTCCACGGTCCGTGGATTTGGGCTTAAAGGGATCAGTTTTGCAATGACCTCTTGCAGGGTTATGCGCTATTTGTCGTCCTTATAGTAGTAGGTAGGAGACAGGAAGTTCCATCCGACAAGCAAAGTATTGGGGATCGTCATGAAGCAGGGCACAGCAACCGTTTGCAAACCCGGCTAGATCCTAAAATCCATTGCCTGAATCCAAAGGTAAATCCCAAAGCTCGTACAGGAGCTTCTTGAAACGGCACGGCCGTCCTTTCAGAAACCTTGCGCAACTTTGATAGGCCATACCCCCCCCCCCCCCCCCCCCNNACCCCCCCCCCCCCGCCCCCAAACGCTTTTGAGTTGCTCCGGCCCCTGTAGACCTCCAAACCTGAGTGTCACCTGTAACTATAATCCGCAGGAGCTTGTTCTAGGTGCTCAGGCCGACTGACTTGGATGTGTTGAAGGTGAGAGAGCCAGGAAGAGAATGGTTTAGGAATCCCAGGGCAGTTGAAGAGGGGTTCGGGTTTCTATAGATCCAGACTACAGGGTCTACTCTCGGCCCGCACCATGTTTCCAGACTTCCTATCACAGGTGGCCAGTCTCCCGCAGCTGCACAGGATCAGAATTGGAACAGTGCCTGTGCGTCATGTAAGTAACTTTAGAAACCACAAGCAAAGTCAAGCCACACGCCGCTATTTGTTGCTATTGTTTGCCGTTTTCGTCGAATAGCAGTTAGGATGGAATTCTTCCCGCGCTTCTACGGCCAAAACTCCATCTACCGGGCTTGCAGCGCTGTTCTGCATCTGTTGGTATTAAGCACAGAGCTCTTCCATCAGCAGCGCGCAGCACGGATGGAGATGCACGAAGTTCTCGAGGTTGCTCACAGTCCTAAACGACATTGATTGACTTAGAGCCAGTTCTAAGTGGTTGGAACAGAGCTAGGCGTCTGGGGTTTCGCGGGTTGTGTAGTGTTCTAGGAGACTTTGGGTAAGCCAAGTTTCGCATTGTGGCTTAAGTTTCGGGGTCTGCTGTGGGCTCCAGGTGAACCGGTGACTGCACAGTTTTGGTATCATTTGGGCTGTTGCTCAACCATCTATTTGGATCTCGAGGCATTAGAGCTCGTCGGTCATGCGGGCTGTGCTTCACAGGGCGGAATAGGAAGGCTCCTTGGCCTCAGGAATTGTCTTCCAGGTAGAGGGAGTCATGTCATGCTGCTATGAGGACCAGGGGGCAAGATGCTGTCGAAAACACCACGATGCGAAACCCAGCCAAATAAAAGACTAAGGGCTCTCCCAACGCAACAGCGCAAACGATGCGTCGAAGCATACCATGCTTGCCGTCTCTCTCTTTGCGGCCCCTCGCATCCATGCGCTTCCACTCTTGCAGGATGTGTCAGCAGCCCTGGCCGCATTGCACGCAGCATGCCACGCAGCGGAAGTCGCCCAAAATGACAGTCTCCTCGACAGACTCACTAGTTCCTAACAGAAACGTTCTTTACATCCTACACTTGCAAAACGGAAACAAAGCGGTGGTACTCCATCATCTCACTGTTAAAGGGTTTTGCAACAAAGCCAAGCAGTGTGGTGAGCAGCGATTGAAGGAAGGAGCGAGCCAGACTCTCTGTGGTGGACTGACCGAGGGACTGACAGGTTTCGCAACTCAGATGCCCTGAACCCAACACTCGTGAAACCCTCGAAGGTTACCATCCGAAGGCAACGAGCCCCTTTTTTTTTGGTCTCGCCTCCCTCGAGCGCCGGCTATCCCGGCGCGAAATTCCCGAGGCCGCAGGCAAGGAGCCGGCAAGCCTGAGCCGCACAACTTTCCGGCTTGGGTTTAGGGCACGGTTTCTAGTACAACCCACAAGAGTTGGCTCCTGCAGGGGTTGGGGGAGCTCCTGGGCGTTCATGAGCAGCAGCAACTCGGCCGAGTGTTGGGCGATAGTTCCGGGCAGGGTCCTTGTTGGGGCTTTTACATGACGGGATATAATTACAGATGAAGGCTGGGTTCCGTGTAAGGTGGTTTGCTTCAAAGTCGTGCGCGTTTGTTGCAGCAGGGCCATAGTTTCGAGCAGCCGCCATAGGTCACCCACAACATTCCAACAATAATCTTGTCGTATACCATGATCGCGCCGCAAAAGTTTGGCTAGCTTGTTTTCGGGCGTGTAGAACAATATTCGACACCCATACAAGAATTTGTAGAACACGGAAGCCAAGATCCCAACCCATGTAATCAGCCATGAAGATGACTGCATCTTGGGAGCTCCTCTAGGAAGCCAGGGTCTGCAGGTTGTCACGGTTTGCAGGTGGTTCTGGTTGTTGAGTTTGGGGTGTTACTTCAACAACTGTCAGGGCTTGGGCCGCAGGTTCAGTGCGAATGTCAGATTCCGGGGATCTTCGCTTGAAGGTAACCTTGTCATGCAGTCAGTTGTACAACAGCCCCCATAGCCTCAACGGCGGCGAGAAATGGATGACGCATTTCTCCGCAGATTGTATCCTTTGGTCCCTGCGCCAACCGCTACTACGAGCCTTTACCCCGAAGACCGAAGCCCGAAAGCATGAACTAGAGAACCGTGCAAGCAGCATTGTGCTTTGCAGCCCATCCGAGGATGCAGGACATGCTGGCTCGGGGACTCAGTTCGTCAGGTTGGCCGGGACGTTCAGGGTTTAGGATGCTGAAAAGGTCACAAGCGACTGTATGTAGGCAGGGCTGTAGGCATCCATGTAGATTGGCCAGGCCATTTACAAGTTGCATGTACTGGAGGTTGTATTGACGTTGCAACATCAGGAGTGCAGGGGTCAAGATGCATCGGTAAACTGTGATGGCACCTGAACAAAGACTCGGATTGTGAGGAATATAGCGGATCTTAGCTGTTGTAGAGGGCCTTACATCACATGCCAGTGTGTTGCAGCAAGATTCCCGGTGAGATGTAAAAGGAAAGAAGAAGGGACTAAGTTCACATGAGATGTGTAATATGAGCATGCCTTTATCACTCGCCCTTTTAGCGACCCATCGAATAGACATGGGCATGGGACGGCGACAGCTTAAATGCAGAGATCGATCTCTCTTGAACATAGTCAGCAATGCCGATGCAAATCCGTGTGCCGGCCACTCATGGTGCAGTGAGAAGTTGGAGCCGTACAGCTGCTTCCCACATCCGTGGTTCCGCGGTGGATCCCCGCCCCACGTGGCTCGTGCAAGCTGACACCGCTCTTACACCATCGCTCCTCGCCGTCGGCGCCATCGGCAGCCCGCTTCTCTCGCGAGTGGCAGCAAAAGCTTTGCGCAGACGACCGACGCAGTTGCGCGCCTCTGGCACGCGCGTCCGGGATGTAGTTCCTCACGGTGGGCCCACGGTCGTCATCTCTGGGGCTAGTCAGGGGACTGGCAGGGCCCTGGCTCTGAAGTTCGCGCAGGATGGCTACAATGTGGTGCTCGCTGCGAGAGGCGCGGAGGCACTGCGAGAGGCCGAGGACTGCTGCCAAGCCGTCCTCAAGCCAGGCAGGCTCGTACTGCCTGTCCCCTGCGACATAACATCTCCGGACTCCATCCAGCTTCTTTTGGACACTGTCGCTGCACGTTTCACGGATGTGCGCGTTGTGGTATGCAATGCTGGAGTGTGCATGACAGGCGATTTTCTGAATACATCACCGGAAGACTTCCAGTCTCAGCTCAATGTGAACTTTCTGGGTCATGTGACGACCGTGCGTGCATTTCTACCAGAGCTACTTCGACAGAAAGGGCGGTCTGGTCCAGTTCCCACTATTTGTTTCGTGAACAGTTTCGGTGCCCGGGTTCCTTTGCCGGATATGACTGCTTATTGTGCAGCCAAGTATGCCCTGCAAGGCTTTGCAGACTCCCTGAGGCTCGAGCTTGCAGCCAGAGGTGTGCATGTGGCCACGGTGCACCCAGGAGTCATTCGCAGCGACTTCCGCACTCGTGCACAGTGGCGGGGTACGGCTGCAGGCAACCGAAAGTCTGCCATGGACACTCTGCTTGATGGCCAGTCCCCAGTGTCCAGCCTCGTCACGCAGTCCGTAGAGGAGGTCGCTGAGGCTGCTTACGACGCTGTCAAGACGCAGCAAAGCGAGGCAAGGTCTTGGGCATAGTTCCGATGTGCGTAAGAAGCTTCCGAACTACTGCACGAAGCTTTAGGGCTGCCCCCTATACGGACAGGTCGTGGTGGGCCTCCCATTTCGCACCATGCTCACCGCATATGGCGTCGGCAAAGCACTGGGCCTTGCCTAAACGACGGTGCCCGGGCTGCAGGTCGCACAGCAGGCCTTCGGCAGCAGGGCTTTCTTGGCCTAGAGTGGAAAGGGGAAGTCCCACAGCTTGGTGCGACTAGGGATATGAGTCTTCTCGCAAGCCTATTTCAGCAAAGCAGGGATTAAAACCTTGAGCCCAACAAGCAAGAGACGCCTCTCCAACTGCATCAAAGCAGCCTGCACACCACGGCATCAAACACAGAGCAGGAGACGTGACGAAGTTGGCCAGAATAATCCATCAGAGGACACCCGCTATATTCGAGGTTACAGGGACGTAGCGCCCCTGGAACAAGTCAGGGACTGATGCCGATGCAGTTTTACGGCTTTATAATATAGAGATGTCGCCGTAGGGTTTTGGGACTTTACAAGGCAGCCGCCTTCGAAGCACAGCGCCGGGAGCGGCCAAGGACCTTGCGCAGCTCCGAGCCTCTCCGCGTGCGCTTTCAGCGTGAGCGAAAAGGTTGGTGAACCAACCCTCGAGAAGGGTGTACAGTTTCATTTCGGTTCTCGTCATTTCGGTTCTCGGTCCAAGTCTGGCCCGAAACCCCCTAACTTCAGATGCCTGGCCGAAACCTAACGTGAAGGTCAGACGTTTGCAAGCCTGGGCTTTGCCAGTTTAAGAAGGCACGTGCCTCCGACCGCTGAAAGCTCGCAAGTCCCGACGATGCGGTGCACAGAAAATCCAAAGGGGGGACCTCAGTCAATCTAACTCTGAGCCCTTGTTCCCAGGCCCTATTCCGTTTTGAGGATTTGGGCGCGAGAGTGATCGCTGCTCTAAACCAGAAGTCGCGGCATTGCAAAAGATCTCCGGTATACACCAGGTAATTTCAAGAGAAGTGGTGACAATAAGCATTCCTGGCAAGAAACACCAGAGAGGCGAACAGCAAGAGCAGCCAGTTTACCAACCGTTAGCGGTATGACGATAGGCGAGTTGAGATTCACGAGACTAGCTAGCACTAGCAACAGAAAAAGTAAGGCTATCCGTACTGAAAACTGACTGCCTAATGCTTTGCTGAGAAAATTGCTGAATGCCGCACAAGCTTCATAGGGAAGTGGGTTGGCTTGTCATTTTGCAGCAGGGAGGGAGGGTTGGCAAATGTGTGGGTGCTTCGCGAGTCTGGGATAAGAGTGGGTCTAGCGTTCAGTTCAACCTGCACCTGGACCAGTGAGAGCACTGCCTGAGGTTTCACAGATGCATTCGATCGAAGAAACACTTCAGCGCATCACCGACAGCAAGCAGTTCCAGGCCCTCGGCATTGCCAAGTTGTCCGATGCACAAATCTGCCCGGCTGAAGATTTCTGTCGTGACGGTCTTCGCCGGGGCTGTTCGATCTGTACTAATTCTATGCGTTTCACGTGGGTCTTATAGCCCTTCACAAGTCGAGTCGAGCCGCAGTGGCAGTTCACGTAACCTGGTCGTTGACAGCCACGCAGGAGCTGAAAGACAAAGCACCAAGCCCGAAACCGCATCCGGACCTGCTCAGACTCAGGCCGCATGGGGAGGTGTTTGTCTCGGGTTCAGGAGTTCACGGCTTGATCAGGGACCCGCACAATCCAGAAATTTGGTAGCATTGCTGCGTGGCGTTGCAGAAGATGATGAAGAATAGAATCATGTGGTTCAGTATACCCTCGAGCCCTAGTGCTGTCACACATTGACATGCCGGTATGTGTAAGACTTTTGCCGGAAATGCTCAGCTGTACGTTCCTCTTTGAGCGACGAAGTCCAACCCTGGATTGGCAGACGACACCCAAATCTGAGTCGGCTGAGGCACTGGAATTCCGATGGTCGATGTCGGTCACCGTCCGGATGTTAAAGTTGCCCCAATTGCAGTCTCTTCTGTCGGCGTGTAGTTTGTCAGTTGTCCGTGAGGTACATGCAAAACTTGGGTGGAAAGCTTAAGGCTTAAGTTGCTGGAGATGCTTTAGATGTCACAGCCCGAACAACCGGCACTGGAAAACTCGAGTGGGAGGTCTGGCAGTGAGATGGGATCAGAGCACAACCTGCTAGAGAAGTACGTTGGTGAGGCGGGGCTGGCGACCAGAGGGTTGGGATAACTTTCTGTTTAGGCTTCATGGCCTAGGGCTTCCGGAGCGGTTTTAGCAGCGAACCCAGAGTACGGAAGCCTTCCCCTTGTGCTACCGCCGCTCCATGCTCAAGCGGCCGAGATGCCGCCGTATGGAATTGTCATGGCTCAGCGAAGACCACCTGTTCAATGAGTGCTAATGAGTGCATACTTACGGCTCTGTGCCTCTATGCTGAAGCCATGTCTTGGCCCCAGATCGATATTTAGCCCCAATGTTGTCTGCGGCACACCAGGACATCTCGAAACAGAGAGGCTTGTGAACGGCAGCTGCACGTTCCGAAGACTAGCTGTGTCAATGGAAGACAGCGCTGAGAGGTGTGAGGTTAGACAGTGAGGGCAACCCAACGGTAGCAGCCTTAGTTGTAACTTTTTTGCTTAGATGTAACTGTTTCCTTCGTGCAGCAGTGGGAAGCAGAGCCCCCTCCCCTCCCCTCCCCTCCCCTCCGCTACACCAAAGACGAAAACCCTAAGGACTAAACCCAGCACGAAACTTTGACCAA